TTGTGTGTGGATACGCGCGTTTCGGACGAATTGGTATCGCATGTACTGTAGGATCGAGAGCAACTGCTGCTCTGCTGTGTGTCTTTGAATTTCAGTAATTTTGCGATGGATGGATGCGAATGAGGTTTCGTTTCTATGTACTTCACAAGATTGTTCGATAATGATTTTGGATCTGGTTAAACTTGATCTTGACTTCAGAACGAATGAAATTGAAGTGTTGAAAAAGGGTACGATTTTGATCTCAAATGAAATTGAATTTCTTCCTCATCTTATCCTCCTCCTCATTTTATGGATAATTCACGCGAAGTACATTTATCCATTATAATTAGATAGATGTAAGGTACATTGAATGAGAAAGTATCATTTATGCTCTAATAATGAATTCGATCGAAAAAGATTAATATTAATAATATGTTCAATTTCTCGAATCATAATATGCATTCGTAGATCGGTGGCAATGATAAAAGAAAAAAAGTAAGTAGAAAACGTATGGGATACGATTGAAATTCTAGAAAGAAATAATCATGCAAGCTTATATGTATGTACACATACGTGTTATTCAAGACGTCTGAACTATCTTTTACTTTTTTTCACGGCTTCATAGATGTTTGCCTAAGAGCAGGCGCATCGCGACTATTCCGTTTGGATCGTTAAGAAATTGGTTTAATATCCGCCATCCCCCGTAGAAAGGCTCAACCCTAACAATTAAAAAATGATCATTCAAAATATTCGAAGTATATTATGATTCATTGGCTTTTTTTTGGCAATTTTTTTATACCAATTGTGTTAAAAATTTAAAGCACAATTTAAAAAATGACTTTCGACCAGTTTCCAAACACTTTAAATACGATAATTCTACTTTCAGCTCCTGAAACTAGATGGCGAGTGCCTTTACATGTGAATCTGCAAGTGGCGAAGTGAAAATAATTGTATAAGTCAAGTCAGTTGTCAGTTCGCCCGGTTCTTTGATGTTAGTTACTTACATACATGATGTTTAAACTTATAAACATCAAAGGACACTGCATACTACTTCAAGTATCTACAACTAGATGGATATCTGCTATCTGTGAAATCTGCAAGTGGCAAAATACAAATAAATATATAAGAGAAAGTTCAATCTACTTAAATAATGAAAACCAAATAAATTTTTACATGTTGTCAAGAAGAAAGAAATAATTGTTTTTTATTATTTAAATCCTTGAAGACGATAACAATACCTGCCTTCTGGTACAGCTCTTCAAACGTTCAGTTAACAGAGTTACCAAGAGGACTAAAAATTCTCAACGATTCAAGTACTCCTGGTTTGTCCTGTACATGTCTACAAAGCTTCGGCACTGATTGGTGATGATGAATCGAAGGCAGATAGGTGTGACAAAGATGTGTAAAAGTGAAAACAGTTGCATCAGTCAAAGCACCGATGGCTGTTTCATGTTCGAATAGACTTTCAGATTCAAACTATAACAGCCATAAAATGTTGAGCATTTCTACCAGGAATCGCTCTTTCAATTTTTCCCTTACGCTCGCGCACGCATACGCATCGAGCCAGTTGCTGTCAAATAAAGCTCTCAAAGCCCGAACTGTACATTTCCGCGTGACAGGCGCGCTTTTTTCCGCGCGCGGATCATCGTTTTGTTTACAAGCCGCACACGTTCGGCCGGTGCGCACCATCGCGTGGTAAATCATGCGCACCCAACTAACGTCGGTATATATAATACGTATGAGCTCGGCCGCGAGCGCGCGCGCGTACGATGTATATCGGAGCTGCAAACTTCATTCGTACATTATACTTATATGCATATACCGCTATTAATACATCGTCGTCGCGACCGACAGGTAGAATAAAACGAAAAATATGCATATTATACGTACACGTGAAAAACAGGCCCTAGTTATGCGCGTTTCGTGTTCCGCGCGAGCATTACGTTAAAACCCGTACACGTACGTCACGCCGGCCGTGCTTCTAATGGAAAATTCGCGTCCCGCGAAAATTCCACTGCCTGTGAGGATCGTACTCGACGCTATCATCCGTATTAAGCCTCTCTCCGTGTGTACACAAACACCGACTTCGAGATGATCGTTACAGTTTATCTAACGTTCGAGCGCCGCGATCGACGTTTATGTGCGTACGCGCGTCGCGTTATATCGCCGAGACGTCGGGATTATGTTTCAATTTACTTTGCCATTTACGGGGAACTTTCGTATGTATGCGTTTGTCAACTGTAAATTTTATGATTTTTTTTACGTCTCTCTTTCTTCGTGTCATCCTCCAAGCATATTACGGTATATTATACTTCGGGATCGATTGTAAAATTTCGTCGTTTATCTATATCGACTCGAGTTTCGAATTCGCGTCGCGCGCGGTGAAATCTAAGCGAAATCAGCGAGGATCGCAGCTCCAAAAAAAAAGTAAGCGAGTACCCGCGAGAGATGGTCGCGCAATAAATACGTATAGGCATGATCTTCGAGCGCATTCACGTCGGACCACCTGGGCGGATGCTGCTGCTGCCTTGAACTCGGCCGCTGCACATATACATACTTCTTGGGTTTATATATATAATGCACGGGTTTGCAGCAGCAGCAGTGGCGCGCGTTACAACCTGTTGTGGCTCTCGACCTGGTTTACTTACTTATATATCTTCTCACACGTATACGCATAAATACGGTATGATATACTTCGGCGTATCATGTGTTAAAGCCGTAGTGCCTGGCCTATAGGTGACAAGCTCCTTTACTTACTTACTTTTTTTCTTTCTTTCTTTCTTTCTTTTACTCTCTTTCCTTCTCTTTACGACCGCAGCAGCTGCAGCAGTTCCAGCACGGAGAATTTCTGAATCACGCGACCAACGTGTATCGGAATTCATACGTATGCAGGATAGTGGACTTTTGAGTGTGTGTGAGTACGCAAAAAGCAAATCGATTTGTGTATTTTTTAATGATTTTTAATTTGAACTTTATTGAAATACATCAGTCAACTTTGAAAGTCAGTCAGTTATAAAAATTTTCCTTTGATATAACGAATACATATATACATGGGTTATTTTATTTTTTTTTTTGCTGTCGCTACAAAAATTTTTTCCTCCTTTCGGTACAGCCTACTTTGCATTTTTGCGATCTCTTCGTTGTATTTTATCAAGTCTGTGCGTGTGTGTGTGTGTGTCGAGTTGCACACAAAAATTGCAACTATACGCGTATGCAGTACAGTAAAATTCAGTCGTGTCGTCAAATACAAAAGTATAACCAATATTCGTATAATAAAAATAATATATTTAAAAAATATATATATATATATGCATTATTATATGTTTATGTACATGTTTATGTACGTTTTTCCTTTTTTATTTTTGTTTTGTTTCGTTTCGAGATAGAGAGACAGTTGTGTGAGTGGGTCGAAACGTTGGCGAGAGAGAAAAAAAAGAGAGAAAGAAATCGAACGAGGAAAAAGGAGGATATATAACTTTATAAATGAGCCGTTTTAACGCGTGCTTGCGTGTGTGTCACACACGGCACGAAGTTCTCAGCCGCACGAAGCGTGAAGTTTCCAAAATGCATATAATGCGCGAGCGAGAGAAGATATCTCGCGGCGCAAAATACGCGCGACGCACAGGTGGTCACGCGTTAAAAGCGCGACGGCAACTTCCGTTACATATACGCACGAGAGTGCCGAAGCTTCGGAGGTAGAGAGGACTGCCCACACAGTTTCATTATTCGTCTTTTTTCTTTTTTTTTGCCGAAAAAGTCTTCAGATCGGAGTCCGATCGCGACTCAGCGGCGATTATTATAAAAATATTGCGCATGTGGTAGAGTGAAGAAGAAGAAAAAGGGACACACGCTGATCTCTTTCTCGCACACACGTACGTGTGCGCGCGTAAAATACGATATAGCCTTTTTTTTCTCGTCGTCGTCGTCCCGACCGCGTAAGTGTGCGTCTGCATGTGTACACGCATTCGCACTAAAAATCAGGTAAACGAGAAAGCAAAATGTAGAGTACGAGGATGGAAGAGAAGAAAAAAAATTAGAACGAGACGTAGAAATAGAGAAAGTAGGAGAAGTCAAGAGAGACGCAGAGAGAGAGATAGAGAGAAGAAAAACCATTGATTGACATCGATGCATTTGGTTATTGTTCGAAGCTAAACGAACGGCATTTGGTTGTTTTGGTTTAATAACATAAATAATAGGTGTAAATCCTTACAATTTATTAGAGATATCTATAAATATACATACACGTGTTTTTCGCCCCGCACACACGGGCGATATTATTCTCGGTCGCGCTCAAACTTTGCATTTTTGTCTTCGTATATGAAAATGTAAAAAAAAAAAGGAAACAAAAAAACAAAAACAAGCAACAGTTCTGCCCTGACCGACACGACGGCCGAGAGGCAGGCAGAGAAAACAATGATGTGCGTGTGTGTGTGTGTGTTCGAAAGACGAGACTCGAGCAGGCGAAGATGGACTTGAATGAAAAAAATTACATAATGAATGAGAGATGAGAGATGAGAGATGACGCAGATGATCATGAGTATGAGTGAGACAGAGAGAGAATCGGCTCAGACCTGAGATTGGGCGAGCGAGTTATGAGAAGAACAAAGTAACCCCCGAAAATTCGTCGATTACCGGTCAACGACGCTCGACAGTATAGCTGCAGTATTAGAAGAGTAAAAACACAGTATAGTTGAAGAATCACAGTGACTATTAGGAGAAAATCCAGTTACTACAGTAATCTAGTAGTGTACAAAGTTACCAAGAGAGAAGTAGCGAGATGAAACGATGATAGAGAGAGAGAGAGCCAGAAAGAGACGAAGAAGATGAAGAAGAAGACGTAGAAGAAGACGTAAAAAAGTAAAATTAAAAAGTTATGCGAATGATGAATTCATGACTCCTTAATAAATAATTTTTTTTTTGTTTGTTTGTAAAATTGCTTAATTCTCTTCAGTCAGTGTGTGCCGCACACCCCCCGTGTTATCCGCCTCTTTATGTTTTTTTTTTTGTTGCTTTTTTGTGTCTTAGGACGAGGCAGCTGGCACGGCCACGGGCTTGTACGCCGAGTAGGCGAGCTCCTGGCCGGAGCGGGCCCAGCCGCCGCCGCCATGGACCTCGTGGTGTCCGTGCTCGTGGCTGGAGACCAACTTTTTCAGGCCGATGATGGAGGCCAGCACGAGGGCGAGCTTACTGACGATCAGGGCTTTGCCGGCGAGCAGGGCCAACGTGCCGAGGGCCAAGGGCACGAGGGTACCACCGATCAGCAGAGGGATGGCCAGGAGACCGCCCATGTTCTTCTTCTTCCTGGCGCGGGCTGCAAGAAAGAAAAAGGAAAAATGATTTCATTCGAATGTGTGTGTGTATCGATAATTGCGATCGTTGCAGAAAAGATTTCTCCGCGCGTGTATATATGAAACAATGTCGAATTTTGCATAATCGTTAGAGAGATTAACCGACTGTGAAGTGTTGACTACTACTACTAGGGAATACGGATGCGTGTGGCGGACTCGCCGCGCGGTTCTCTATAACAAAAATGTGGAACGATATAGAAATTCGGTATGATTCGCCCCACTGAATAATGCGCGCTTCTTCTCTCTGCGTTCTTCTGTGTGTGTGCTCTAATTCTCACCAGGCGGGAAATCGCCGTAGAAAGTTTTTTTTTTTCGTTTTAATTCATAAATACTTCGCGAAAAGCTGGCTGCTGGTTTATTGTGGTCATTATTTTTTCTTTTACTTTTTTTTTTATTTGCTCTGGCGCGCGCGTGGACAGCTGCGAAGTCGCGAGTTATTTATTTTTTATTTTATTCCGTGTACATATAATTACCTTCTTCGCTGAGGCTCCTCTGGAGTTCCTCAACGTTGGGCATCTTGACCTTGAGGGTATGGCTCTTGAGGAAACTGACGGCCTTGTCCAAGATCATGGTGTTCAGGGCGTCCTCCTTGTCTTCCAGGCTCCTCGGCAGGCTGGCCTCGATCTCCTGGGGCGTCTTCACGGGCTCTTCGCGCTCGGTCGGGGTCTGAGCCGGGCTCTGCTGCTCGTCCTTGATCAGGGTGATGCCCTCGGCGATGTTGAGGGTCGCGCTGCGCGACACGCGGTCCATCGTCGTCAGGAGCCTGAGCTTGAGGCAGCTGCTCACCTCGGCGCCGGCGCAGTCCTTGTAGATCTGATAGACGGAGCGCAGCTCGCCGAAGACGCCACCGGCACCCGAGGACGCCGCTCGGCCTTGCTCATTACCGCCGATCGAGTTCGACGGATGGGCCGCGGACGAGTCGGCCGAGCGGGCCTGGCTCTGGGTGGCGAGCAGGAGCACTACTGCCAAGATGCTACTGAATATGTGATGATGCATTTTTGTGGCTGTGATTAAGAGTAAACTGCAACAAGATCAAGAGGAGAAAAAAAAATTGAGCTTTTGTTCATGAAGTCGCTTGGATGATAATTTTCTTTTTAAGCTTTTATTTTCGCGAATCCTAAAGTTTGGAAAATTGAATCTGTTTAAGCTTTTAAAATTTGATATAGTAATTTCTTTTTTTATACAAAAATAATACTGTGATTAATAGCGCATAATAAATAAGATTTTTTTATTTATTATTATTTCAATAATCTTGATTTGATTTTTTGTATGAATATTCAATTAAAAATTAATTCAGAAAAAAATGATAAAAAATTTCTGTGTTTTTTTAGAATTTCAAACTTGTATAGACAGTTTTATTGCAACTTAGACGTAGTGTAATTCAGAGCTTTTAACCAATTACTTATCAGTAGAAAGAAAAAATTACTTTTATGTAAAATTAAAAATAAGTAGAATCGTTCAAAAATCTTGTGACGATGTAAAAAAACATTTGATACAACGAAAAAATATTTGATTTCACAAAAAAGCACGTCGGAGCTTGAAAGCTCAACTTAACAAACGAGAGGAAACAACACTTTAAACAGCAAATACGAGACGTTAATAAATGAAGATTCGAACACTATACAATAAATAAACAAAAGATGATTCAAAAACAACCCTCTGTCTGACTTCCGAAGCTATATACAACGATATACCTTCTCCGTATAACAAGAAGAACTTTTATAAAACTGCTAAACGTTTGGATCTAAACACGCGAACTTGTCTTATAGTCTGTGTGCTCACAACATGCGTAAGTATGTTATATATGTATCTACTAGATAGATTCCGCAATGTGTCTCACCTCTTACAATCTTATATATATCTTATATATATACCTAAGGTGACGTGTGTGTTTCACTAGCAGTGAGCACTCTAAGCGAACTGTACGTCGAGCTAGCCCTGCCCTAGCTCTATATATCCGGTCGGGCTGCATCGGCAGCGGCGGCAAATAGTAGCAGTCCCCACCAAGAGGAGCCGCGGCGGACCGCCACCGCCGCTACTACCAGGCTCTAGGAGCTAGAGCTAGAGCTGGCCGATCATCATTACCCATACTCAGCGGCTAGCTTTTCATATGGCAGTAGCACTTGTTTTTTTTTTTTTTTTTTTCATTCTTCTACTTCTTCTTCTTCTCGAGTACACGCACACACATGTAGGCGGCGGCGGCAGCCGTGGAAAAGCAACCACCGTATACAAACACACACACGAACATACACACACTCGCGCACAGGTAGCAGCAGCCAGAAAACCAGCATCCGAGAGACCCTCCTCTCTGGCTAAACTGGACACAAGCTTTCCTCCTCCGCCTCCTACTCCTCTCTAGCTGCAGCAGCAGAGCTAGAACAACACACACGCGTACAACACGACTACTACTCCATATATCTATCTATACGCACTCTCGTATACACACCTTGTGTTTCCTATATAGCAGCCACGATGCTACCTTGGAAGTAGTGTAGCAGCAACAGCAGCTGCAACTGCTGCTGTGCTCTTGTTTTTTTCTACTTTTTTTCCCGGATCATCGACATCGCGTACGCGGCAGAGGATATATAGGCTGTTTTCATGCCGATCCGCATAAAAGTGCTCGTATACGTATGGACAACCAAAAGGATACGTCGCGCGAAATTTTTTTTTTCTCTTCATCCGTATCGGCGCGAGATCTTGGGTAGAGATGGAAAATATTCCCATATTACGGCAAAAATTAATCATCGCACCGACGACTGATGTGTGCAATCATACACGCGGGGCAGTTCCATGATCTCTCTCTCTCTCTCTCTCTCGTAATTCATAACTCGCGCAACGCGTAATGAATCGAGATTCTAATGCATCAACGATACTCGGCAATTTCCTCTCTCGGCTGAAGAGCCGATAAAAGAATCGGCTGCGAGGAGGCCAGTAATTTAAGTCAGTAATACACGCGCAGCGCCTGAGCTTTATCCGCGTATACATAAAGCATGAATGAGATTATTAATTTTCTGCTGCGCGTGAAATCGGCGTTTGTGTGTGTGTGTGTGTGTGTGTATATTTGGCGCCATCCGACAGATTTTACGATCGCACACACACACATGCGCGAGCGAATGCAAATAATCTATAAAGCCCAACCCAAAATTTTACCTGCGTCATATGTGTTTGTGTGTCTATATAACTATGCAGCTGCGCACATTTGAAATCTGAAGCAAATTTACAGTTACTTTCTCTCTCTCTCAAGCGCGAGCGCATACACACGCATACTGATCTGCATCATAATATGATCAATCTTTAGAAGCGAGAAATTCCAGCGCGATAACGTTTAGATTATTATTAAACGGACTTTGGAGGCATATCGAGTAACACGAACGCGCGAAAAATTGGCGCGCGCACACTCGGCAAAACGGATATCCTTCCATCATTTTTCATCGCGCAAAATGCGTAGGCGACGAGAGTCTTTGAAGAAGAAGAAAATCGCCCCGCCCTCCTTTTCCACGTGCGAGGCTTAGCGGGAACTCCCACCCCCTCGCGTTTGCAGCATAAGCGATAACGTGGCACTGATCAGGGCTTTTCGTTTGTTTGCTTTGTCATACCGCACCTGCACCGACTAGACGCGGCTTTGAAAAAAAAAAGAATAATAATAATCCGTCCACGCGTAAAAGGTTTGTTTAATGAACGATCTCGAGCTGCGTAGTGGCACAAACATCGCGACTAGCCTATATATGTATTAATTGGCCATTCGTATAACGATCGCGAGCTCGCGGGTATATAATATGAATATTTGCGTGCGAAAATGTATTATCCATGCACACTCACTTCCTGAACGCCGTGTGCGCTCGCTGTACGGCGTCTAATTCTTAATCAGTGCGTGTATGCGTGTACGAGCTATAGAGAGAAGCTGAAATTTTTCTCCCGTTTTTTTTTCTCAAAGCAATGATTCCACTCGAAAAATATTTTTATTACGTTACAAGCGGGTTATGTGAGTGTGTGTGTGGGGCCTGTGTAAAATTCATTTACACAGATGATTGCGCCGCGTCGGCTAAACGGTAAAAATGTCGGTGCTGTATAATATGTATACACCGTGTATACTGCTGCCCGTGTGCACACGGGGGGGCGTTCATTGAGATGTAACAGCGCAGCTCGCGTACGGACGCGAAAATCCGATGAATCATTTCGTTTATAAGATCTTTGCCGTCTTTACATAAATCGTGTATATCCGTCGCGTAAATGGCACAGACGGCGCAGCGATTCGCTCTTTATTACTACTATAGTGGTCAACGGAAAAGTATATAACCACACAATACAATGTGTATCGTCCGGAACGACGAGTTATTGTCTTCTCTCTCTCTATTGCTTTTCTCTATACGCACACATACGAGCGCGCGGATTCGTTCACTTTCCCCCTTTTTGCGAGTATTTCGCGCGCTCGCAAGCTCCGAACGTTCTTCGCGCGTCTCTTACTATTTTCCTTTTTACAATCGCGTTGAGAGGTGTGATTTCGATTGCAAATAAGCTGATTTGCATTATCGTCGAGATGAACGCAGTGGTTATCGTGAAAAGCTCGTGATTCGGCGGATGATTTAATTCTTGATTGAAGCGACGAGTTCGTTAGCGGTATCGAGTTGAGTCATTGGATACGATTCAAAATTTAAATTTATTAGAAATATTTAGGATTTCTCGTATAACTTCTTTTTGAATACGTATTTTAGGTTAGAGTGGGAGAAACATCATTTCATTTTTGTTTCAAAATTAATTACCTGGTAAAATACACATTCTTAATAACGGCCTAGTGACCAATAAGTGGCCATTTTACATGCTTCAAAATACAATACCTGCAATAGATATCTTATTCTTTTATTAAAATTACGTTAAAGTACTAAGTCCATTTTAATTGATCTGAAAATGATCGATTTATCGTTCACAATCATTTAGACCAGTTATTAATGACTTCGAATTGACAATACCCATACTTTATACCTCCACCACTAGATGGCGAGTGCCATTATCTGTAAATCCGCAAGTGGAAAAGTAAAAATAATTGTATAAGTCAAACTTGATTGACACTTTCGGAAGTATTTGAATCCATTATTGATTAAATGCTTTAAAAACGAAAATACTACTTAAAGCCTCCGCTACGAGATGGCGAGTGCCATTATCTGTAAATCCGCAAGTGGCAAACCAAAAATAATTGTATGAGTTAAACTGCCACGTCTTCAACTCCCATACTCGATATGTCGTAACCTATATATCTACGTGACTTCGGAAACATAAAAGTGCAAAGGAAACTACTTTAGGTCTTCGCCACTAGATGGCGAGAGTCATTATCTGTAAGTGCGCAAGTTGTAAAGTCAACATATTTGTACAAATCAAGACATTGCTCATATATTCGTAAATCTTCTATTACTTTATTACAGGGACGAATGGTAAATTTGATGTAATACGTGCTGCGCGCGAAGGTAAATACGCCACCGAAGATTTCCCTCTCGGTGCACCAATCTTTTTCTCGCTCAGCGCGTGATCATCGTTCTGTAAAATACATACGTGCTCATATACACGTGTGTATAGCCTCTGGCAGCTCCTGGTGCATCGGATTCTCCGCAGCATTCGATCTATGCACATGTAGATCCTTTTATTATTGCACGAAGATCGCTGAAAGTGCGTGTCTGCGCTGTGTCCGTTCTGCACCTCATATACTGCTACCGCATGGTATAGTGCTCGACGTTGCATCACACGTACATCGCTCGAGCTTTTAGACGCGATCCCTCATCGAAACATATCCAATTTTCTCTCATCTCGCGCGAGCAGATCCTTCCTCGATATTATCATCGTCGTATGTATATATACGGTGCACATACGTAAGTACGTCCAGCGCTGCCTCCTGTGCACTCCTCCATATATATACATACATACACATCGCGCGGGGCTCTCCGGAGTCCGCTCGGGCTCGATGATGTGCTCCAGATTCTTCGCTCGCTCGTGCAAAGGCTCGCTTT